CCTCTCGCCCCCGCTCCTCCCTCCCTTTTAACTGCCTCCCCTTATGAAACTCCAATCGGATTGTCACAGTAGGCTTGGGGTGCGGTGCGCAAAGTATTAGAGGGTTGAAAACAAGGGAAAGTACGTTCCGCTGGGCTGAAGAGGAGAGACCAATGTGAATGGCCAAGGGTCGCAGCTGACATAAACAAGATCGTGAGTCACAAACAAGCAAACACACGGCCGGTCCTCCCCAACCGGCTAACCGTTTTGGTCATGCTGAATATTTCTTTTAATCCTGTTCTCGCATCTTTACGTTCTTGTTTATTTAAAATGCATTTAAAATGATGTCAGTCCCTCCGTTTGGACTTCCCCTCCCCGATTTGCTGTACAGTTCGGAACGATATCACCTCGATTGCCGGTACAGTCCAAGACCCCGGCGTTCCGGCAAGCGATCCTCCTCTCGATGCTGATGAGCAACTGATGAATAACGAATATCTAACTGCAATTTTGATCTCCGAAACTCGATGTGCACAAAGGTTAAGCGTAGTGCAGTGGAGCTAAACCAACCAGATCCACCTTAAGCCTGTGACACCACGGCCAGAAACTAACGTCGGTTTGATCGATCTCAATTTCGCTCTGAGACGAGGGTCTACGGTTCATAATGTTGATGAGCTCGATGAACAAATTGCCTTCTTTACTTACCCTGCGGCTGACGCTGTCCCTCGCGCTGTCCTGTAGCGTGCTCCTCGTCACCTCCTCGCCGCGCTCATGCGGAGTGTCTGGGAGGTCTGGAGCGACGCCGAGGTGCCCTGCGCCCTCTTGCCGCTCATGCGCGGCACAGGCTGAAGTGTCGAGGATCGCGTCGAACGCCCGGCGACGACGGCAGCAGAGCGACAGTGGCTGCCAAGGCGTGGCGTGGCTCGGCGCTCTAACCGCGAGTAAGGCTGGGTGTGGACTGAGCTGGCCCGGCGCGGGCCCCTCTGGCCTGCTGCCCACCCGGGCGGGTAGCCCACCCGCCCGGCACAACACGCACCGTGACGCCACCGCGTGCCTTGCCCCGCGCCGCCGCGCTACCCCATGCTAAGGCCTCTACTTCACACAGACTAGACTCTAGCTAGCCCAGCTCGGAGATGCGCCTTCCATTCCCCCAATCTCCCAAGCGGCAAGTCCCGTCTCATCACCAGCCCTCAAATCCAATCATTAGCGGTTGCGGCGTTTTGCTCTAAATAGCATATTACTGGAAAGAACTGTCTCCACGATGACATTCCAGAATCCAGACCATGAAGGGTTTGTTGCCTCCTCCACCAAGAAAGAGGTGGCAAAACACACAATTATAAAAATCCTTGATCATTAATTACCTTGCAATAGTGCTGCCTTATATAGACAGCTAAAATGTCAACAAGTTTGTCATATTTTTCTGTTTCTGATGTTAATTTACAACATTAACTTGCTAATTTTTATAACTCTTTGCTACAAATAAAGCCTGGTACTGTAGTTAACATTTGACATCAAACCAAAAGAGAATTTGTTTTTAAAATCAAAGTTAATTTATAGGATTTAGAAAAAGGAATGTAGTCAGAAAATAATGGGATAGAAAATTTTATATTTATTAAATTAATAATTTCACACAAAAGTTTTGCATTCTATCAAAATGTACACTTAAATTTCTCTCTAATTGTAGGTCATGTAACGAGGAGTTGCGGAGAACTTAGCATAGGACTTGATGACCTTGTTCACAGCTTCCAAGAAGTCTTTTTCAGTTGCAACTTTCCTTCTTGCACGAATAGCAAACATTCCAGCTTCTGTACAAACTGAACGAATTTCGGCACCTGTACAAATCAAAAGGAAGAATAAAATGTTAGAGATGGCAGATACATTAGCAATATTTAGCAACAGAATAAGGTGTAAGATTAGATTAGATAGCTTTTAACTGACCTGTGCTGTTAGGGCAGAGACGAGCCAACAACTCAAATCGAATATCTCTTTCTACACTCATAGATCGAGCATGAATTTTAAAAATGTGAGTACGGCCATCCAGATCAGGAAGCCCAAATTCTACTTTACGGTCTAAACGTCCAGGACGCATAAGGGCAGGGTCAAGAGTATCAGGACGGTTAGTTGCCATCAGCACCTAAATAAAAGAAATTAAAACAAACCATGAGTACATGATGGAAAAAACAAAGGAAAGGAAAAAAAAAGAACAAAAGTAAAGACCACTTTAAAAATTACAACTTACTTTAATGTTACCACGAGGATCAAAACCATCCAATTGGTTGATGAGCTCTAACATAGTACGTTGAACTTCATTGTCACCACCAGCTCCATCGTCAAATCTAGCACCACCAATGGCATCAATTTCATCAAAGAAAATGAGACAAGCTTTCTTACTCCGAGCCATTTCAAAGAGCTCCCGCACCATTCTTGCACCCTGAAATTTAGATTTTTTTAAGTAGTCAGTATTCAAAGTAATTAAATAATTAAATACATAGGGTATAGGGGAAAATGTAACTCCACTGACCTCTCCAACATACTTCTGGACTAATTCAGAACCAATTACTCTAATGAAGCAAGCATCAGTACGGTTGGCCACAGCTCTGGCACACAAAGTTTTACCAGTTCCAGGGGGGCCAAACAACAGCACTCCCTTTGGTGGCTCAATTCCAAGATTTACGAACTTCTCAGGTTGAAGAAGGGGAGTTTCAACAACCTCACGAAGCTTTTCAATCTGCTCTTTGCATCCTCCAACATCGCTATATGTGACATCTGGTTTCTCTTCTACTTGCATCATTGTCACAGTGGGATCAATTTTGGGAGGAAGAGGAATATGGATCTGATACTTGTTGCGGTCAACTCTGCAAGTAAAAATGAAAGTTTAATAACACCAGATTATGTTTTAAAATGGATCAAATAAAACAGATGGTTCACTATTAAGAAATTTTTACCCGACACGCATGCCTTCTTCAATGTCTGTAGGAGCCACTGAGTCTGCCAAGTCAACCACAAACTTGGCAAACTGCTTCACATTAATAATGTACTTGGGATCATCAGAATCAGCATTAATGATTTTAGTACATCTTGCAACCTACACTCGCGTATAAAATAACCATATTAAGAATTTCAAAATAAAAGCAAATAATAAAATGTTCACATCATTTGAAGGTTTTGAGCCTAACCTGCAGTGGCTGTTCATTTTGGAGAGTCTGCTTATCAGCAGCAAGATCCCAGAGTGCTGGGTGAGCAAGACCTGTATCAGATTCTTTGATTCCAGTAAGCTCATTGACTCTCTTGATAATTGTCTGGATATCATCATCAACTCCCTTGATACTTTTTGTATATTGTCCTTGGCCCTAAAAGAAAAAATAAGAGAAATGTCAGCAAGAAGCATGGGGGACTGACTTGATATCATCTTTCCAATTTGCACCGCAGATACTTACATAGCTCTTCAGAAGAGCAATATCCGCCTCGTCCAAAGCTACAATGAATAGTAACGTATTAATAAATTTCAAAAATAGCAGAAATAAAGATCTTATACACATCTAATAAAAGGTCCAGGTTGAACCAGTTCATTGTGCAAACGACGAATGACAGTTTCATTCAAATGACAAGTACTATGAAGTTAGGTTAGAAAACAAAATTAAAGCTTAGAAAGAAAAAGAAATGTTGAACCAAAGCGCCCGCACAGTCCGAATAAATACTCAGGTTAATCGACTGAAAACTGAGATCTCTTAAACTAAGCAAAGAGTAAAATATAAGTAAATGAAAGAGTAAAACAAAGGCCGAAGATGGACAGCAACGTACATTTGATTTCCTTTTCTTCCTTGTCTTCATCTTTGGTTTTACGCATGTCACTTCCCAAATAGTCCGGCATGGTGCTGTTTTGTTTCTTAACGGAATAAGTAATAAATTCGACGAATTCACGTCAAAAAAACAATTTGTCTTTCAGTCCCCGGGCAGTGGATTACAAGCAACTTCTGGCTGGAGGTGTTCTAAGTGTGTTCTATTTGGTTACGTAGGAAAAACAGGGTCAAGAAGATACGTTCTGTTATTTCCTTTTGCAGAGGGCGCAAGAAGAAGGGTTACTTCTATGAACCAAATATATTGATGTAAGCAATGCAGACTAGAAGTCTAGACACTTTATTTTGGGTATTATTACGTCGGATTCGTCTTCAAATACGCCTGTACTGTAGAAAAGTGAAATGCGGTGAATCCTCTATTTTCTTTATCCACGGTCGTTTCGCGCTTAACTGGATGGGCTGCTTGTTTTCTCTGAAAAATGAGAAATTCATCCGCGCGCTTAACTGATAATATGTTGAAAATATAGCTATTTAAAAGCGTAAATAGCTTTGCTAGTAACTTGTAAAATACATTCCGAGATCAACCTTGTTAAAGCAAAATTTTAAACAAATTCACTCCCATGAAGTGTCTTTTAAAAAAAAAAAAACTCTCAACTTTTTTTTCCGTAGGTTGGTCATCCTGGTAACTTGGCATCCCTGGCCTAAAAAGTGTTTATGTATGTGCTTTCGCTTTGTTTACCCCGTGAAATTCGGATAAATTTTTAAGTGAAGAAGTAGATGAGGGTAGGTTTATGTCAAATTTTTAAATTTACGTCTATTTGTGCACAACTTGGACAGTTTCTTTGACAAATATGCAATGAATTCTCGTGAAAACTTTCAGTCCACGTAGACCGTTCACCCCGACAGCTTGGTCAAAGTTAGCTTTTAGAGATTATTATTCTAAACTCCAGCCTCTATATTTTAAGATCCAGCCTGTAAATTTGTAAACCAAATGATCTAATTCGTTTACTGTCTGAGATTTCCGTGCCCAACCTTAAACTTCTGCCGGCGAATGTCGGGGAGCAGTAGGGTTAGGATAGGCCTACCTCCATTTACTCGATAGTACTTTTTTTTGTATTTTGACTGCGCATTCTTATGAGCTGATTATCTCAATAATCTAGGTGGTAAATTTTGTTTTTTACTGTGATACACATATGAATATATGCTAATTGGCGATTGAATGCCTTAACCATCACAAACAGTACCAATCAGCTGTTTCATATTTAGTTTTGTTTCTTTGCTATTAGTCTGCTTGGTTCTCAGCAACCTCCAAATTGTACATATGTTTCCATGTTACAACTTTATTTTTTTATCTTCATCCCACTTAAAGCACTCTTTTGAGGTCTTTTAGTGCTAGCCTATGCTAGTCCTGCAGGTTCTTTTATTCAATAATAATTTCCGCAGAATTCTCGATTTATCACCTCATAGTTTTAAATGAGTATCTAATTAAATGGCGCATTGTTTGCAGTTGATATCTGGAGAATGGAAGTGAATCGCCACTCTGTTAATGAAAATGGTATAGTACTAGTTGTGTTCTGGGGGAAATCGCTTTAAATGTTGAGTGTATTGTTTTCATGGGGTATCCCATTTTAACCATTTGAACACTGACATAGTGGTTACGCTGTTGATGCTCATAAATTTGGCACATATCCTATCCTACCTCCTCCATGATGTAAAGTTCAAAATTTCATTAATTAGTGTGCATGCTTACAAAAGAGATGTTGCAATGCCTAGGTTTTAAAGGTTGTTGTTTTTTTTGTTGTTTTTTTTTTTTTGCTCTTATGAATTGGAATTCTGTTTGGGTCACTTTTCAAACTCTTAAACTTTGTTGTCCTCCCCTAGTTTTAGTTTACTAATTAACATTTGTCTATCATTCCTTATCATTATCATTGTAGGTTGTTGACCATCATTTGGACTCATTTGGCTAACATGTTTAGTTTCATATATATCTGTCTAACAATGTTATCTATTCCAGCCCTGTTTATCTATTTTCAGAAAATCTTCTAATTGCTTTTTTTGATGCTTTCAGGAACCACCATGTCCCGTAATCTTAAGGACAAGTATGACAATGTCAACCCACGTCGGGCTCATACCATTATGTCAGCAGAGGATGCTGCATCAGGGAGAAAATCTTATTGGGCGGAACTGGAGATAACAGGTGAGTCAATAATCAACCGTTTCCATTGTCTTTTCTCATTTCTTTTTGGTGTTTATCATTTTGCTGTACTTACAGGATCTATCCGGAATGTGAGCCCATGTTTGTGGCAGCTCACCCACCTAACAAGTTTGTACCTGAATGATAACTGCCTATCTCGCATACCACCTGATGTTGCTATGCTCGTCAATTTGCGTAGTTTGGACCTATCCAAGAACAAGCTACGCAGTTTACCTGCTGAGCTTGGTGAGCTCATCAATCTGAGGTTAGTATGTGATTCAATTCTTTTTATCTTTCAATATCTGTCCATATTAGTTGGAATTTTTCTATACTCCTCCATTTTGAAATTCTTCAGTTTAACATTTAGTTCAGTTTTGTTTACTAATTGAAGAAATTAAACTAACTATTGTCCAGTATTATTTTTCCCTACAGTTTAAAGTACTGAGCATGCTAATAATTGTGGTGAAGTGATGTCCCTTCTCTCTCCATTTACACCCTCATTCCCGATGTCCTTACCTAATGGTAAGTTCATTCCCCTAGTGTCAGTTGGTGTGCAGCAAAAAACATAACTTTGTGTTAGTTGCTAGCAAAAAATTTTGCTGGTGTCATTCCTCTTTACTTGAATGTTCTATTCAAATTATTATTTGAAATCTACAAAACTTTGACAAGAATTGAAGGAATTGGGAACTGGCTTGATATTTCTGTATTAATTGTGTATCAATACATGTATCTATGTTTATCTGTATTTAATGGCATTGAATAATCCTGTAAATTTTGTGAAGTTAAGTTTATTTCTCCTCTGAAAAGAGTACAGCCAACATAATCTGTCACATTCATATTATCAACATTCTTTGAAGCCATAGTTTTGTGACATTTCTCGTCCCAAAAAGACTGATGTGAAAAAAGGTTTTTAGTGTTCCCGTTTTTTCAAAGCAGTGCACTTATTTTGTGTTCTGTTTTTCAGGGAACTGCTTTTAAGTCACAATCACCTTCGAGTTCTCCCTTATGAACTTGGAAAACTTTTTCAACTGCATGTTCTTGGACTACAAGGAAACCCACTCAACAAGGAAATTCTCTCGCTGTATGGAGAAACCAATGGAACGCACAAACTTCTCACCTACATGCTGGACAGCTTAACAGGTAAGTCATTTTTTTTTCTTTGCTGGCCCAGGCCCAGCACGAAGGTGCAGGCCGGGCGGGGTCAGTGAACCCGAGCGTCTCTCCGAGTTTTGGCTGGGCCGTTTTTCGGGCGTTGAATAAATTCAGGAGAAGTGGACTTGGCTCCGGTGGTGCAGCGGTGGGCGTCCGTAACAACGGTCTAATTTTGGCCTGTTGGCTCCTTGCGCCCACGCGGTGAAATGTCTCGACCGTGGACTGGAGCCCCAAACGTTTGAAACGCAACTAGTGCGCTGGCAGGAGCCAACTGTTAAAAAAATTGCTGTAAATTTACAACGAAAATGTGATTAATTTTGTTAGCAGCACATACTGTATTTTTACAGGCATTACTGTAAAAAAGCAGCGTTAATGAAAATTTTGGAAACAAAGTTTCCGACCGAAAGCAGTTACTTTTGTTTTGCTACTGTAAAAAAAATTGTAACAATACAAGTGTCTTGTTATGGCAGGAAATATGTTGCTAACAAAATTAACTTCTCTTTTCTTGTGAATGTACAGCAAAGTAATACGCAGTAGTTTTTCTTTTGGGCCAATATGGGCCGAATATCACAGGTTTCGAGAGGGTTCAAATGAAAACAACATTTCTGTTATATAACAGGAGTGTCAAGTGTCAATCCCGCAGTATGTCGTCAGGTGACAGTTATTTTTAACAGTGCAGTGTCCTGTGACTTCCTCGCCCCCCTCTGAAAACAAAATCAGTCCCAGACCGATGGTGAAATAATTTATAGGTAATTTATCAAGCCGGAACCCCAGTAATGGACGTCAATGGCGCAATTAAATCGTGTCTCGTGAATAATGCGTGCAAAGGGTTTGCGCCCAACGCTCTCCGTGTTTACAAACAAGTATGGGCAAGGCTTGGCGGGGCGCGGCGGGTCGAGGCCCGCCGACCTGCCAGAAAGTTGGGCAGGGGCAAGGTGTGGCCCAGTGGGGCCCGGCGGACGGGGCGGAGCGGGGCAGGGGGGCCTCCGGTAGGCTCGTTGGCCGTGGCCGTGACCGCACAGTAGGGGGCCCGGGGCCCCCGGCCCGCCGCGCCACGCATCGTCCCGGTTCACGCAGGAGGGGCGTGAGGCCCGTAGGACCCCATGGTGCGGCCGGATCTGATCCCATCCCAGACTCAGCTATCCATCCCAACGGTCTGCCCGCCCCGCCCCG